GTTGAGCTTCCGACCATGTTTTAACCTGTTATTGGGAGGACCTCGGATCGATTGATCCTATTGACCTTAAGAGTTTCTTACCGATCTGTACTGCACTATACAGCTTTGGGAGGACGGAGAAATGTGTGCAGCCATCTTTGTCAAACTGCTCCGGCGTGTCCTCTCGTTCAAAATCGACCAGAAAAGGTCTTTGAACTATTTTCACTATAAATGATATATCGGCTGTATTTCTCCGATACCACGATGATAATGACTCCATGATGTGTGTGAATCTATGCGCAATTTTACTGCGTATAATTCTCTACTCTATCCTCTCGTTATTTGTTGATTGTTGATGGAAGACGACAACCAATGCTGCTTTTTCACATTCGTTAACACTGTTCAACGTATTCATGGATAAGGCGTCGGTCTCCTAAACCGAAGTTTGGGGGTTCGAGTCCCCCCGTGGGTAATACTTTTTTTTAACCATTTAGAAATCATTTTTATGGAAGTTGAACATTTCTGTTTTTATTAGGGGAAGAGGGATTATCAATATATACATAAAGTAGTAATCTCGGTTTGTTTGTTTGTAAGATCAAAACTCATGAACCCCTTGACCGACTTGCCTCATATTTTGAGCAGGAAACTTGTGAGAACCACTGGAATGTTTTGAGCTTGGTTGGTCTACTCTTATACGAGAAAATATCCGAAATCGTAATTTAAGACAAAGCGCGTGGGTTAACGGTGGAAAAAAAACAATGAGCAAACTGGGCAACTGGGTTCCCAAGCTAGTACATATATATTTATACTACTTCATGGTTTACCGATTTTTTAGGTCCAGTGTTTGATGAATCTCCCTGTGTGTTGAAACCATGAGAACCGGCAGATTGGGTTTACACTTTGCAGACAAAAATCCTTAATCTAGGTATTAAGCCTTTTTAGATTTGTTTTTCCGTAAGCTTTGATTATCTCTTCAAATATATTTTTTAAGAACAGAAAATTGGAAAAAAATCAAAGTAAACATGGTTATAATTTTATTTTCAATAGAGTTTTTCTACATTGAGTAATTTTGGCCAATATAATTTCAACAGAATTAAACCCCTCCAGGGGTACCGTTACCAAGCGGCAATGCCGTAGCAGTAATCTTAATTTTGAATTTTGAATATGAATTAAAGTTTTCAAGAAAAACTTTCAATGTTTAACATGATTTAATGGTCATTTTGTTTGTTTTTCAACACTTCACATTAAAAAAAGTTGTTTAAATTATTTAGCGTCATAATTATTTTCATCTATGCCATTTTCATCGTAATCTTGAAATAATAACTTCTTAATGGATAAATTCAACTTATTTTTTCTTATCTAAGCTTAAAACTTTTTAATAGACAGAATTAGTTTAAATCTGAAATTAATATCTAATTCAAGAGCCGGGAGATTAGTCGAAACTTTGTATATTTTAAAATCTTTTTGTGATTGGAGCTAACCAAACAAAATACTTTATCTTGATTTTCTTTAACAATCCTTTTCATTTTTTAAATGATTTTATTTTAGTATAATTTCTGTTAAGGCGTGCAAATCTCAATTCAGATCTTGTCCGTTACATGTAAGACACATTGTAACTCGTTTTGAATGATGTTGCTTCTCTTAATCTATTGTCACGAAATTTGCACTAGGAGGGTAAACCCGGTTTTATCTATCTAACACTTAAGAAGTATCTATCTATCGCCAGACTTATCTAGGGAACAAGAATAAAGGAATGGAAATGTCGCTGGTCTGGCAGGAGAAAGCCAGTCGCACTGCGTTGTACACTCAAACTCTGTTGGTACAGACATACATTGTTCCCTGCCTCTAATGCCTCAGTCCGGTTAGAATGAATATAATGTCAAAATTGTGGTAAACTTTTAACTCAAATTTACCTTTAGTCAATTATCATTACAACTGATACGTTTTTAGACTTGGCCGATATTTGTCTTAATAATTTTACATTCTGTGCTTAACAAATGTCTTATGAATAATATTTTAACTGGTTTTTAGTACGATTTTTTTGTTTGATAGCCTCGACTTCCAAAGAATTGAAACCCGTGATTTCTTACAGGGACTGTAAATGTAATTAGATAGATAAAGTTTATCGATAAAATACATGTATCTGTGTATACAGAACGACGTGTTTACAATTACAAATTGATAATTATTTTAACAGTACATCTTGATTATCTTGTTTTCCTCCTCAATTTTCCTTCTGACCTTAATTTTCTTATATGTATGTTTAACTTGGATTTGCCATTTTGCTCTGTCTCCTGTACTCCTAGTTACTGTTAGAAGCGTCTCTGCAAAGACCTAGGTCCTACTTTGATTGAACTGTATCATTATAAACCCTAAAAGTAGATTTCCTGACCTCAAATCATATGTTGTGATTGGGTATCTCAATAGTAAACATGTATCTGGTAAGCTTAACAGAATTCAAGTTTTTTACTGAGAAATAGTTGCGATGACCTTAAAAACTTAAATATATATTATTTGGGGAAATATTAGTTTTAACTTCAGATAGCATATGTAATATGTATTCAACTGAGATACAGACGGCCGTGAAAAGTTTTAGGACTGGTTTGCAACGTCTTTGCCTTTGATCTTACCTCAATAACCTGCTTATACTTTCCTGTAGCTATAAACATGAACATTTTAGCTTTAGTTTTCTATATTCTCATAATTATTTCGTATTATGTGTGAGAGCTCTCAACCTTTTGATCTCTTTAAAGCATATTTTCTGAGATAAATTTATAGAACCTTTAGAAGTCAAAAACTGAACGCATTAAATGAGTATAGCCTTAGAAATACATATTTGATCAGCAAGATTTTCTTTCAGTAAAATCAAGAAATTCTCTTTATACTCCAATAGGAGTCCTGAGAATCAACACCACATTAACATAAACAAACATAGTCTTCGTAATTTGAAAAATGTTTGCATTTTGTTAAATTTTAAATCGGTTAGCAATTGATTTTGGAAAGATTTTATTGTCAACAATGTGTAATTTCAAGTGACCCACTCTGCAAAGGGAGAAGTGACCGATTCCCAACGAAACCCTTTTAACCTTAAACTGACCATTTAAATTGGTGTTAAAAAAAAGAGTGGAAGTGCACACTGCACAGAGTAAATTCAAAAAGCTGTAGTTACATCAATTCCTAAATAATTCTGAATATTCTAGGTCTACCGCAGATTAAAAAAATTTAATTGCTGCTTATTATAGGAAATAAATATCAAAGTCAATGGTCTAAAACTTTTCTGAATTAGACAAACCACTTTACAAATGGAGGGTCACTTGAAATTATGCCTGCAGTCCTTTAAATCGAGAATATTTCAGGCGATTAAGCTCCATTTACTTGCTGAAAGAGGAGCTTAAGGATCTGGTGGAAAGACCTCTCTTTCAGCCCTAACATTATCCCTTAGAGGTTTATCATGAAAAACTTGCCTACGACAGAGGTAAATATGAAGCCGAGTTACAATATTTGTATCAATGTATTTATAACACCTAGATTTCATTTTAGAAACGAAACCTTAAAATAATTAAATAAAAATTTTTTGAGTGTAAAAATCTGCCATCTTAATATTTAAAATCCGCAATCTGTGATAATCATTAATCATGCATTGATCCCATCAAAACTATTCTATCAAACAAGAGATAAAAACATTCTTGTTTTGCACAAAAAAAATTCAAAAATTTAATTGAATATCATTTTTTCATGAGTACAATCAAGTTTTGTTTTGACAAGATCCTTCTAAAACAACTTCACTAATAGTTACTGGTCTCGTCACTAATGGGTTAAAGTTGCATCATTCATATATATATATATGTTTTATAAATTCCGCCAAATCTTTTTTGAAACAATATATAATGGAATATGTATTTCTCAATACCTCCCCCCCCCCTACATTTCTTCTTATCGTTTGATGATTACAACATCTCTTGACAACTAACAATACTTCTAATCCTATCTCGGCATTTACTTCCGATACTTAACACTACTTACTCCAGATCCATACTTAACACTTGCTCCAGATCCAATCTCACCTTTTTTATTTGGTTCTCATGAGTATGAAACTCGCTATTTGTTTGGCGTAGGCCTAGTTTAATCGTATTTAGCTTTTTATAAAATTAATATTTCAGTTTTATTGACCTTGAGACCATCTTTGTCCTGGTTTCTACGCTACACTCTGCATTAAGAACCGGGTCCTTATAAAGTAATTTTAAAAAGAAATAATTTACTTATTTTTTTCTTCTTGATATATTTTTAACTGAAGTACTTTATCAATTCCCTCACATTTCTTCAACTTGCCAATTTATTTTTTCTTGTGTAGTTTGTAGTGTGGTGACTTAGGCTCTTCCTTAAACTCTCCTCGCATTGAAGGGTGACTGTTTATTTATTTATTTATTGCCCCCCCCCCCTCTTCCCCATTAAAATTCCTGAGTTAGACCATAGTGTTCGCTTGTTGTAGTTGGGGACTAAAAGAAATACATCTATTTTTGTGTAAAAGTCTACTTTTTAAAGGTGAATGGATAGGACGACACGCTAAAGCAGGCCTAATGATTTTTATTAGTAAAATACTTGATGAACTTGATGAATTAGTTAGATAAAAGTTAGTTTATTCAAAGTAGAGTAAAATACTTGATGACCTTGATGAATTAGTTAGATAAAAGTTATTTTCTTCAAAGTAGAGGAAAATACTTGATGAACTTGATGAATTAGTTAGATAAAAGTAGTTCATTCAAAGTAGAGTAAAATAATTGATGAACTTGATGAATTAGTTAGATCAAAGTTATTTTCTTCAAAGTAGAGAAAAATACTTGATGAACTTGATGAATTAGTTAGATAAAAGTTAGTTTATTCAAAGTAGAGTAAAATACTTGATGAATTAGTTAGATAAAAGTTAGTTTACTCAAAGTAGATAAAAATACTTGATGAACTTGATGAATTAGTTAGATAAAAGTAGTTTATTCAAAGTAGAGTAAAATACTTGATGAACTTGATGAATTAGTTGAATAAAAGTTAATTTACTCAAAGTATAGTAAATATTTGATGAACGTGATGAATTAGTTAGATAAAAAGTTAGTTTATTCAAAGTAGAGTAAAATGTCAAGATAAAAGCTAAGAATAAGTTCAATGCTTTAAAAATTTTCCCCTTAAACTAAGAAGACGAAATTGTTAATTTTTTTTTAACATGGTAACATAATCAAAGTAACAAGATTTTGATGATGTATTAAAATTATATCAATTAAAAGTTTTTAAAATTTAGGTGTTTTTTGCCTTTACATGAGGCATTTAGAAAGATGGTGTCTAAAATTTAGGCCTATTTTGTCCTTTTGTCCTTGCACACGCTTCTGTCCTTGTGTGGTATTCAGTCCTGTTTAATTTATTGCTTGTGTCCCTATGTGGCATTTAGTGCCTTGGATTCAGTATTGGTTGATTTTGAAAGCGGACAGACCTGGATAGATATGTCTCGAAAAACTGTTACGGAGTAGGTGTTTACTACTTTGAGTGGAGGTTTGAGTAAAGGGGAGAAACATTGTCAAAGCTCATGAGACCAGGAAAGAGATCTGTAGGGCTCGAGCATATTTTATATACTATTATGGGGTGTACTAGTGGAATGTCTAATTATGTAGTGCACACATTTTAGAATGTAGTATGATACACCTCTGGACTTTGATCCTGCCACACCCCCTGGTGGTATCTTTCCATTATGTGTTATGGAGGAGGGGGGGGGGGGGCTTTTGTGTGTTTAACACCGTGGGCAGTCCGGGTCTCCCATATTGGGGCGACTCTCAGATAATCTCTTTATATTTACATCTATTACCATGGTATCTGGCCTACACTTGAATCCATTTTTTTTGTACAACTACTAGCTTAGAAACCTAGCGTTGCCAAGGTTACTCAAAGTTACAACCGCCGTTTACCCGCGCTTAGTCTTAAATTACGAATTAAGCTATTTTACACCCCTTCTACTGCTCTCCCCTTCAACCTCCCTTTTTAGCCCCCCACCCCCCTCCTTTTCTCTGCAAATTACTAATAAAATATATAAAAGAGGTTTCGTTACAAAATCAAGTTCACGTGGAACTTCCTAAGATTAGAATGTTCTTTTTTGTGTAGAATAAAAAAGTTGCTTATTTTTTAAGATCATATGTGTTTAAAAACTGTTAGCGGACACAAAAAATGTGGAACGCTTCACGATTTTGCGTGTCATCCTTGCGCAGGGGCCATGCTAATCTTCTCTGTATCGTTCCAATTTTAGTATATGTACTGCCGAAGCAAGTACAGGAACGGAAGGAAAACTTGACTATTTAAAACTAATAAAGAATATATTTTTTATGATATGAAATGGTAATTTTTCCCAAATGCTCTTATACTACTATTTTACCGAAAATGAGTAAAATTTTGTTTGCGTGATTTTGTAAATTTATTTGATCCAATTAACAACATGCTTATAATAGAATTTTTTAATTTTATTTATTTTTTATAATTTTATATATTTTGTTCATGGAGAGTATAATGAAGACTGAAGACTGAAAAGTGAATAGTGAATGTTGAGAGACAAACTTTTGCGCGGAATTAACAAAGACCAATCTAAGGTAAATCTATATATTACTAGTTAGGAAATCACCCTGCTTAACATCTGCCCGCGTGGCCCAATGGATAAGGCGTCGGTCTCCTAAACCGAAGATTGGGGGTTCGAGTCCCCCCGTGGGTAAAAATACTTTCTGCTGAAACAAATTCGTTTTCCAATTTTAATTTTTCTTAGATTAGCATTTCAACAATTTTCTTTTTCTTAATTTAACAATAATCTTGGACAATAAACTATTTAATTTGCATTCCTTGGATCTCCGTGAAATAAGAAAAAAAATTATCAGGATTTAGCTATTTTTTGAAACTGCAAATATAACCCCAAATATACTGAATGAACTACGCAAGATTACACCAAGGTATGATATCTAACCATGTTTCTATTTCCCTAGGCCTGAATATAAAAACTGCAGAATCGAATTTGATATATAACGTTTTTAGTATATATGATTGGCGTTGATTTTACCTTTTATTTTTACTCATTTCATGTTGAATTTTTTTTATTAATATGCTATAAAGTAAGCTTCGTGCTTTAACCGTTAACTATCAAAATATAATCAAAAAAGGCTTGAACCTTCTCGATAAATGTAAATAATTAAAAAAAAACATTATAGCACTGCGAACCAAAATAATAGTGTCAAGTATTTATTTTAAAATCTTCTCCAAGTGTTACTTCGCACCTTATCTTCCGTTATTCAATGATATATAAAAAGTTGTCTACTTAAAATTTTTGTATACAGTTATCGCAATTTTGCTTAAATTATTGCAACAAATCTTACATTAAATTTAGTTTTGGTGAGACGGAGAGTTGTCTTGTTTTATCTGTCTATCTGCTGTCTATTACTATCAGTATCTATTTATCATCAGGTTTCATGTATTCACTAGGATCAGTATCTATCTATCTGCAGCGTGCAGTGTATCTTTCTATCACAGACCCTTGTATACCTGTATCCACCCCGAGAAAATTTTATTGTCAAAATTGTGTCAATATTTTAACTAAGAATAAGCAATTTTAAGTATACATATTTTTTCTTCTTGAAGCCGCCAAAATGACGTTCGTAAAAGATGAAAATGTTCGGTGCTTTGACATTTTGGGTGAAATTTTAGGCATTTTTAAATTTATGAAATCAAGGTATTTTATAAAATCGATGTGTTTTTAAATTCTTTATGAAATTTCTGATCTGATCTTTTTATAAACAGGGTGCTTAAATTTTCGTTTTACACTTATTCAATTTTAAATTTTTGCGGTCATAAAATTTAAAACATTATTTTCTTCTTATTTGAATTAAGTAGTCCAGGGGCAATCAACCTAGTAAAAGTAAATGTTCAAAATATTAAAATAGTTCAGCTGATGTATCAACATGCCAGTGCCACGTGTTTTTAAGTATTGCCTCAAAATATGGCATTAAATCCGTTGTTTGAACTTGAAACCTTCCTTTCTATTGGTCCAATCCTAAACCGTCCTACTCTTATTTCAACTAATTTAAAAAATCAATAAATATCGGAAAAAATTTATATTTTTATATTTATAGCAGGCTTTGATGATTTTGAATGCAGTGTAATATAAGTATTCTAATATCAATTTACTAATTTAGTATCTTAGACATTTAAAATGTTGGATATCATTGATTTCTCAACATTATTAAAAAAAAAGAGTTAATCGAGCGTGACAGGACTCGAACCTGCAATCCCCAGATCCGAAGTCTGGTGCCTTATCCATTAGGCCACACACCCTGTTTCATAAGCTGAATGAATGTCAAAATAAAAGTTCGATTTAACATATTGCAGCTTTTGTTGAAATATCCATACATGAAAATTTAAAGCCTGAAAAAAATTATCTATAACATCTGGGAAAATTGATAATTTTGAAGAGGCGAAGTGATATTTTTTCAACAAAATATTTACCACGTTTTTATTGATTTTTATTTAAAATAAATTCGAGCGTGACAGGACTCGAACCTGCAATCCCCAGATCCGAAGTCTGGTGCCTTATCCATTAGGCCACACACCCTATATATGTATATGTATATATGCATGGAAGATGTTTTAATGTCTGAATTAATTTCGACTAAACATATTGCAACTAAGGTTGAAATACCCTACTTTTTCTCATTACTGAAACCGAAATCCTGAATAGATAAGAATGTTTTATTTAGAAATTTTCCTTTATCAGGAGTTTTAGATTCAATCTTGAATCAAGAGTCGTCGTCAGTATTAGAGACTTCCCTTCTCAAGGAAAAGAAAAAATCAGGTTTGTTGAAATTTTCATTAAGTTCATATCATACTCTCTATAAATCTACAGTGTGTCCCCTATCACATTTGCCTGATAAACATTAATTAATTTATTTTAACTGCGAGCTCGTTAATAAGTCTAATATGAATTTGAGCGTGATAGAATTAGGGATGGGCAATTTTGTTTTTAGAATTCGTTTGAACTTTTTTAACATTTGCCAAAAAAACAAAAAACGGAAAATTTGGTTTGGAATGAATCTTTCAGATTTTCAAAACAAATATCAGCTTGTTTTCTGTTTTAAAACAAAACACTAATTTTTCTTTTATTTGGGCAGTAATTTACGATTCTTTGTGACGTTTCTCAAGTGGAGATTTCAGGCTACTAAAGGAGACTTGAGGAGTTTTTATTCCGAGCCTGATGTTGTCCCAATCTATTCCTAGATTGACGCCTGAGCCTGATGATGGTGATGTATGGGTGTGTTATGAAGGCCAGGAGGATTCTTGCTCGAAATATATGGAACTAAATGCAAGTATTTTATTTTCTAAATAGTTCTTTTGACATTGAGTTGTGGAGCAGGTAGGATAGAGATAAGATGTTTGTAGGAGGAAGGGTATAGGAGATTGCTCCCAGTTTTCCTCCTTTATTATACTGTTTCCGAGTTAGGGGAATAAGGAAAACCCATAACTGCACCCCATAAGCAAAACGGGGAGTTTTGAGCCCTGAGCTGAAAACTTAAGAATGAAATATCCTGAATCCCGGTTACTTAATCTTAAGTATCCAATGAACACACTTATGATTTTCTTCTTAAACATCTCTTTTTGGACAACTATATTGTATAAAAGTTACTTTTGATAACAATTACAGATTCGATCCTATATCAATTGGACTAATATCTGATTGAACTAATCAGCTGTTCGCAAGTGGGCTTTTACAGCGTTTAATCAAACATTAACTTTCATGTTAATACAAAATATATATTTTATCACATTTGAATGTTAGTCTTAACAAACATTAATTTAAAACTTACTTTCGTTCAATCAATCTTTAGTTCAGTTGATATGACACCATCAATACCAGAAAAGCACAAAAAAAATGTTATTTAAAAGTTAAAAGGCGCATCTTAACATGACAGGCTGTTTGGTTTAATTTTAAACTACTTTCTTGGATCTTGAATGCGTATTAACCTAATCTCAGGTTTAGTAAAACCAGGAGATCAAGAATTGAAATTAATACCCACCATTCTGAAGTTTTCAGCTCTGAAAGCTCTCTTGAGAGGAATCTTCCATAGCAATTAAGTCCTCATATCTGGTTGAGTAAAAAAAAAACAGTATCGTTGTGCATGCCTTGTATACCCAAGAGGGGTTAAACTCCTTTTTTCAGTGCACCAAGCTGAAGATGAAGTTTTGATTTAATCTATACAATTCTTGCTTCCCCTGTAGGATACAAGATGGATAACTAAACTCAGCGATTCTCCAGCTGTTTCTCTGGGACCACATAGGATAGGTCCGGTCTCCTAGGAGGCAGTCAGGCAACTGATGACTATATAGGCCTTAAGTTAGGTTAGGTATTTATATAATTATAATATAATAGTAATAGTTTACATAAAGAAGTTTTACTCTTCAATAAAGACAAATGCCTGGAATTTTAGCATTTTATTTATTTCAAGTTAAACTATCTTTATTTCATACCTAACTAAGATTTAATATGATTGATCTTTTTTAAATTTCAAGGTCAAATTTGCTTGGATAAGTTCATTAAAACATCTCTTTAATAACATTTTTTCATTCCTTTTTATTTTCAATAGGAATTCTTAAAGCCTGGACAGGAAATCATCCGGAGTTTGCTGACTCCAAAAGTGCAGGTATTTAACAACTGGTAAAAACACTGGGGGCTCAAAACAATTCGGGAATTTTTTACATTTAGAAATAAGGATGAATAAGGACAAACTTTTAGGAACACAAAGTGCAAGAGTTGCAAAGGTTATATTGGTTTTAATCATTTCCTGTAAAGCTATAAATACTGCTTATGGGGGGGAGGGCCATGTTAAAGCTTTCCTTATGGCTGGTAAAGACCAGGTTCTGGTTGATAAGTAACTTCTAATGTCTTAACAAAAATGAGAAGTGAGTTTATCTTTTAAACTGACTGGAACACGTTGACCTTTCATTTTACTTCACTGACTCACTTGAACTTTTTTTGTAGCCATAGACATGAACATTTAAACTTGGAAGCCACTTGCTTTTAGCATTAGTTTGAAGAAGTGATTAGCAAAATTTATTTTTACGTAAGAGCTTAGTTTCCCTAGTTCTAAGATGAGACAAAAAATGATAACATAATATTGTTAAACTTTTTGGTAAACTAAATTAATTGGTAAATATTGAAATGTTTTCAGTCTTTTTTTTACATTTATTTTCTCTTGGTCGTCTCTGAAGTCTTATTCTTTGTGGGTAACTCAGTATATGCTCAAATTCCCTATCTCTTATAGGCGATACTCCTAAGATAACATGGATATGTCTAAGTCTTTTCTTTTCTCTTAGAAGATAGAAGAGGGTTGTGGTCTCAACCTCGGCTTGTAAATTTGGTAAAACAATAATACATAATCGCTAATTGTTCTTATGAAGAATTTGTTTAATTTATATTTTTTATAGCTGACGCATAATCAGGAGGAACATTAGATCTCACTTCTTCCAATCCCAGGTAAACTATCAATCTTTAACTTCTGCCTACAATTGACCCTAAGAAGGGAAGGGATATTTTCTAACCCTATATCTTTGCAACCCGTTGTTGTAGACCTAAGATGATAATGTTGTTATCAATGAATTGTCCTCGAGTTAGTATCTTTGAATAAGTGTAGGCAATACATTTCTTAAAATGCACTGAAGTCTCTAGAACCACATTATCACTCATTTTTCTCTGGGGTACCTTGTATAGAAAACCAAAATATCATTAGCCTGAAATTAGTATGTTGACTATAACTGGCAAATGCTCTGTAATTTACGAAAAAATGTCTTTCAAAAATACTACACAATAAACAAATAATACTTAACGTTTTTTCCTCTTTTTCAATGACTTGATTTTTGTTAGTAGAAAATTCAAAGAAATATCCCGGATCGCTCTCATCGTCGTTGTCAATAAGAAGAGAGTTAACTAGTATTATGAAATAGAACTATATTATCTGTCTCCTCATATTATTATTTCTAAACATTAATTGTTAATATTTTAGGGACAGACATGGCAATGATAATAGAGTAAGTTATTCTATAAATATTCCATTACAAAGAACCTAAGAATAAGAATATAATCAATGTTAAATCTAAATATATGCTAAATTCAGAAATATGTTTTGTTCAGACGAATTGTGAATAAATCTTTAAGAAAACAGATTCTGTTTTATAATCAGCATCAGAGAAGGAGGCCAGGCCAGGCGATCTTGTACAAGGTAATATGTAATTATCATTTTAGGAGTTAAATTTTAACAATAAACTTCTGGACCTCTTAGAGCCATTTTTGTGTATCTTTAAGACGGTATTCTGCAGAAAATGGCAACTTAATTTTTATGTATTTTATGATTTATATGTTTAGAAATGTACAGTGTTAGTCAGGAAACAGTATAATAGTTGTCTCATATGCTATTGTTGTCGCTAAGGAACAAGATTCTGACGATGAACAGATAGACAAGGAATAACCCTCAAATCAAAATCGATAATGCAGAAAACTCTTTATTTCCTAAAAAAAAATGAAATGAATAATGATAAATAATTATTACAATGGTTTACAAATTTATAATGAAAAGATTCTTACGATCTATTTGCTTATTTGTGGGATAACAGTCGAAAAGTCCGAAGACGCTTTTTACACATTAAAACTTCTGAAAAGATTAACAATTAAATGTTGATGAAAGTCACTAATTCTTTAAATGAAAATATTCTTGTTTAACTTTGAAATGGTTCACAATTAATAAACGTTTATACTCCGTTGTCGGAGAACAAAGAAGAAAAGCGGGTTTAAATTGTTTGGTTTGGTTTCTCGTCTCCGAGAGGAGCTTTTAAGTTGAAGACGACATTACATAGAGGGGGGGGGGGACTTAATGTTAATGGTTGACAGCTATTTCTTTTAACAATTAATTTTCAAAAGAAATTTTGTTGTCACTGACACAACTATTATATTTCATATTACAGTTATGCCACTAAATTCACTTACAAATTCATACATTTTGTTATATTTTTTACTTAGTATCAATAGTATTTTCACAATTGTATTGGACAGGGTATAGGGTAGTTTTGAAAATATATTACATAAATAGTTAATTTTCATATCATCAGTTTATATATTGATTCATCCAAATTTCGTGAAAGAGAATAATTTAAAATTGTAAAATTCATAAAAATGTTAAAACATTTTACCCTGCTTACCCTGATTAAAAGGGGGGTTACCAGTTATTCCATGTAAAGAATGGCTTTGTGTAACTAAGATATTTGTTCATGGGAACAAGCAGCTTATAAAGGACAGTAAGCGATATCTCAAGTGACTCAGCATGCAACAATGGCAATGTCCATTTTTAGAAAGGTACCCTTGAAACCTTTATCTGATAAATGAAGTGGAAAATATTGTCGTGATTTTGGGTTAAAAGTCTATTCTATTAATAAAAGTCAAGGTTGCAGAGAAAGCTCAATTGAAACTCAGTTTTCAAAATCATTAATACCTATATCTACTTGATAATACTGGATCAGACAAAGCTTTTTAAGTAAACCCTTGTTAATCGCGCATTGTCATTATTGCAGCGGTGTCGAACATCTTCATTGGTTCAAGAAATGCTTATCTAGACGAAGGAAAGGCTCCCATTTCATGAGTAAAGATGTACCACTAGGATAATCTGCAGATCTGCTAGACAAACCACATTATGCACTATACAATATAAGGTGAGTGAATTTTTTATTTTTTAAAAACCTTCAAAATTTTTTAAATCTGCCAATTCTAAAAATCTGCAAAGTAATCGAGTTTTTGCAACAAACTTAAATTTCTTACCCCTATAACTTTGCAATCTGATGGTATTGACCTTTGTTATTTGAAAGTGAAGTCTGTGAGATAAAAGAATCTAAGTTTAAAATAGCAAATGTTTACACATCAGGTTGCAAAGATATGGGAATTAGAAAGTCAGACAAACGTGAAGACCACTGAAGGACGGACAAACATGGGCCATGTAATATAAAGTAGTAGAGAAGATCTAGGTCAAATTTTCCGTACAAATTTAGACACAAATTAGACTAGATGATATGTTAAAAATTGATATATTTAACATTTAAACATTTATCATCATAGTTTTCATTGCTAACAGTTATCATATTTGTTTCAGAATGACTTCGCGGATTTTAGGAATTTTTAAAGTGAAAATTGTATGACTTTTTCTACCCCATGCTTGTCTTCGTCCTATGCTTGTCTCTTTGTACCATGTTTGTCTCTGTCTTTCGTTTGTCTCTGTCCCATGTTTGTCTCTGTCCTATGTTTGTCTCTGTCCTATGTTTGTTTCTGTCCCACGTTCGTCTCTGTCCTATGTTTGTCTCTGTCCTATGTTTGTCTCTGTCCCATGTTTGTCTCTGTCCTATGTTTGTCTCTGTCCTATGTTTGTCTCTGTCCTATGTTTGTCTCTGTCCCACGTTCGTCTCTGTCCCATGTTTGTCTCTGTCCCATGTTTGTCTCTGTCCCATGTTTGTCTCTGTCCTATGTTTGTCTCTGTCCTATGTTTGTCTCTGTCCCACGTTCGTCTCTGTCCTATGTTTGTCTCCGTCCCACGTTCGTCTCTGTCCCATGTTTGTCTCTGTCCCATGTTTGTCTCTGTCCTATGTTTGTCTCTGTCCCACGTTCGTCCCTGTCCCACGTTCGTCACTGTCCCATGTTTGTCTCTGTCCCACGTTCGTCTCTGTCCCATGTTTGTCTCTGTCCCATGTTTGTCTCTGTCCTATGTTTTCTCTGTCCCATGTTTGTCTCTGTCCTATGTTTGTCTCTGTCCCATGTTTGTCTCTGTCCTATGTTTGTCTCTGTCCTATGTTTGTCTCTGTCCTATGTTTGTCTCTGTCCCACGTTCGTCTCTGTCCCATGTTTGTCTCTATCCCACGTTCGTCTCTGTCCCATGTTTGTCTCTGTCCCATGTTTGTCTCTGTCCTATGTTTGTCTCTGTCCTATGTTTGTCTCTGTCCCGCGTTCGTCCCTGTCCCACGTTCGTCCCTGTCTAATGTTTGTCTCTGTCCCACGTTCGTCTCTGTCCCATGTTTGTCTCTGTCCTATGTTTGTCTCTGTCCCATGTTAAAACCAATTCTTTGTTCTCTTAAAATTCATCCTTTATTTCTATTTTAGTCCTTCCCTTATTCTCTTTAAATCCTTCCCTTATTTTTCTTAAATCTTTCCCTTATTTTCTTTATATCTGTCACTTATTCTCTTTATATCCGTCCCTTATTCTCTTTAAATAGCTCCCTAATTTTCTTTTAATCTATCCTTTATTTTCTTTAAACTAATCCCGTTTTCTCTTTAAATCCGTCCATTACTCTCCTCCTTAAATCCATCCTAATTCTCTTTAAATCCGTTCCTTTTTCTCAAAAAATCCATCCCTTAATCCCTTTTAAATCCATCCCTTATTTTCTTTAAATTCATCTCTTATTCTCTTTACATCCATCCCATATTCTCTTTAAATCTGGCCCTTATTGTTTTTAAATCCGTCCTTTATTTTCTTGAAGTCCATCCCATATTATCTTTATTATCCATCTCCTATTCTCTTTAAATGCTGTCCTTATTCTCCGTAAATCCATCCCTTATTCTCTTTAAATCCATCCCTTATTCTCTTTAAATCCGACCCTTATTCTCTGTAACTCCATTTCTTATTTTTTTTAAATCTGTCCCTTTTTATCTAAAAATCAATCCCTTTTTCTTTTTACATCTGCCCTATGTTCTCTCTAAACCCTTCCAATGTTCTCTTAAAATATGCCACTTTTTATTTAATCCGTCCCTTATTATCATTAAGTCCGTCTCTTATTATCTTAAAATTAATCCCTTTTACTTATTAAATCCGTCCCTTATTCTCTTTAAATCCATCCCTTAATCTCTTTCAATCCATCCCTTAATCTCTTTCAATCCATCCCTTATTCTATTTAAATCCATTATTGATTATCTTTCTCCCTTATTGACTCTTTAAATTCGTCTCTTATTCTCTTTAAATCTATCCATTATTTTCTTTAAATCCGTCCCTAATTCTCTTTAAATCCCTCCCGTATTCCCTTTAAATCCATCCCTTATTTTCTTTAAATCCATCTCTTATTCTCTTTGAATCCATCCCTTATTTTCTTTAAATCCATCCCATATTCTCTTTATATCCGTCCTTTATTCTCTTTATATCCGTCCCTTATTCTCTTAAAATCCGTCCCTTATTCTCTTTAAATCCTTCCCTTATTCTCTTTAAATCCATTCCTTATTCTCTTTAATTCTATTCATTATTCTCTTCAAATCCATCCCTCCTTATCTTATTCTCCTTTAATTTGTTCCTTATTCTCTTTAAATCAATCCCATCTCTGTATTCAAATCCTTCACCTGATAAATCTCTAAATATCCTCCCTGTCCTTTTCTTCAATCTATTTTTCTGAACCTTTTTAGTAAATCTAGTCTAGCCATTTCTTTCAGTCTTATCCGTCCCAACCTATATTGTACATCCACCCCTCTCATAAATTCAAACCATTCTGTTCTTTTAAATGTGTAATTCTTTCCATATTTCTCTTTTAATCCGTCCCACTCAGTACTTGTAACCCATTCTTTGCTTATTACTTCTTTCTTCTCTTTGAATGCCATGTTTTCTTTAAACTCAACCCATCTGTCTATTTTAATTTTCGATCTGTCCAACTTTTAAACCCTTCTTTAAATTTTTTTTCTTCTTTTATTTATTAGTTTTCTCTTAACTTAATCCAGTCTTTTCTTATAAAGCAACCATTTATTTTCAATGATATCTTTTATTTTAATTTGTCTTTCTTTTTTAAATTTGTTCTTTTTTATCCGTTCTTCTTTTCAAATTATTTAAGTTCCCATTCTTTTATTTTCTCTTATATCCATCCTCCAGGAAAACTCAACCCATCCACCTCTTTCAATCCGTCTTTCACTTTTTGAATTGTTCTCTGGTTAAAATTTGGTCCGTTCTTCACTTTTTAATCGGTCCTGCTTTGCTATGATCGAATCCCATTTTTTCCCTTCCAAATCCGTCTTGCACTTATCAATCCGTCCTTGCCGTCATTAAACCTTTTATACTGCACCCATTCTACTTTATACTCCATACCCTATACTCAGTAAATTGAGTTCATTATGTTTTTCAATACGTCCTTCTCTAAACAATATATGTATATCTCTGAAACTCGAACAATTTCTTTCAAACCAATTCGTCCTGATAAGTTAACTCATTCTTCTTTTTGAAATCCACCCTTCTCTTTAATCTGGCCTCTATAGTAAATCAACCCATTTTTTCTTTTTTATCCTTCCTTCTCTTTAATTCGATCTGATGAATCTCAACCCAGACCCCCATTCTTCTCTTTACAATCAATCCGTATTGCTTTTTTAAATAATCCTTCCTACTGTTGAATGTCCGCCCATTCTTTTTTTTCAGTTCGTCATAGTTAGAGATTTCAACTCCTTCTTCTGACTTTTAATCCGTCCTTCTCTCTAACTCCACCAATCTTTGTTTCTAATCTTCTAAAACAGTCTTGTCTTTTCCTTTAAACTCAATCCAATTGTTTCTGTTTAATTTGTCTTTCTCTAGCAGTCAACCCTTCTTTCTCTTTTTTTATCCATTCTTCTCTTTTCAATCCGTCTTCCTTTTCTCAGTTTTTTTAATCCATTCTTCTCTTTTCAATCCGTCCTCCTTTTCTCAATATTTTCTATCCATTCTTCTCTTTTCAATCAGTCCTCCTTTTCTCAGTATTTTTTATCCATTCTTCTCTTTTCAATCCGTCCTCCTTTTCTCAATATTTTTTATCCATTCTTCTCTTTTTAATCCGTCCATCTTTTCTTAATAGTTTTTATCCATTCTTCCCTTTTCAATCCGTCCTCCTTTTCTCAGTATTTTTTATCCATTCTTCCCTTTACAATCCGTCTTCCTTTTCTCAATATTTTTTATCAATCCTTCGTTCTGTTAAACTTAACCCTTACTTCTCTTTTTAATCCGTCCTTTACAACTCTTATGAATTTTGTTATTTTAATAAATCCTTTCTTTTCTTGAACCGGTGTTTGACCAACCAAATTACAAGTTCTCACAGTGACCCTTCGTTTATAAAAATAGGTGCATGACCGATTCACAATGGTACCCTTTAAACCTTGATCTGTTCAATACTCACTCATGAAGATTACGAAATTTTTCTAGTGATGTAACTCTGATAATTTCTCCACTGTTTCTGAAGCAAGAAATAGCCAAATCACTTTGCAGAGAAACCACAATTAAAAATAAACAGTTTTGAAAAACACAAACATTGATATATAATTCATACTTAAACAGTAAAAGCTTTTAAGTGAACGGTTGGGAATCGGACTTGCCACTGTATAAAGTGCAAATATGCTTGATTCACAACGGTACCATTTTGAACCCTTCCTCTCATCAAAAATGTGTTTGATATTGTTGTTTGTCTAGGTAAATGTTTAGTTTTAATCATTTCTTCCAATTGGAGAAATGCGCAAGTCATTTTTGTACAGAATTAATTACCCATTTGAAAAGTATCAGTTTTCAAAACTAAAATGTTTGTTGTCTTGTAAGGATACCCTTGGGAACCGGGCATTGCCTTTGCATTAATGGTTACTTAAAATTACGCTTAAAGTTTTAAGGTTGTTTGAAAGGTACCAAATTATGAAACGGTCTAAAAATATTTAGTGCACCTTTTTCGAATTGTATTAAAATAATGTAATTTTACTCGTTACTCTTTAAATTCATCGCATCTTTCTCTGCATATATATATAAACAGAGTTATCGTCACAATCCCTAAATCTTTGCAACCCGATGTTGCCGATCTTATACATTTAGAACTATGAATTGTGTTCTATTCAAAAAATTTAGAATATAAAACGTTTACATCACCAGGTTGGAATTAGACAATTTGAGATTCTTTTCCCTCCCTGTTTTATACAAATTAAGTTGAGTTTTCTTCTTTGTTTGTTAGGGTGCGTCTGCTTGGATCGTGGTGGGGGGGAGGCGTAGCGTAGAACACCCCCAACCCCCTCGCAAATTATTTTGTAAATAAAACCAACATTTCTTTATTATTAAGTAACATAAAATTAAAACCCTTGTATATAGGTACTCAAGGAACGTGTTCAGGCAGACATGAGATTTTTATTCTCTTTAGACCCATAAGTTTCCGATTGAGGCTGATCTGTTCTGAATTTAAAATCATCGATATTCTCTAATTTAACAGATGATATGTGGAAGCTTAGATTCTATAAATATTTCATAAGTTAATTTAGTCTTCATAAGATAATTTTTGTTTTCAGTGACTTTAGTTTGTAAGTTAAGAAAGTGAGATTTGTTTTGAACTCATGGATTCTACTCAAAAACGGGAAAGTGGGTTTTGTCTCGAAAATGTTTCAAATTCAGGATATGTTCTAAAATAAAAAACCTTACGTTGTCTTGAGAACGGACAAAAGATTTAATATAAAAAAACTAATATTTTAATTTTGATTTAAAAAAAAATTTAAGTTGGGAATTGTCATAACCATTGATTATTTGCACTGAAGTCCTTAAATTCCTCGTCATGTTTAATAAAATGTTGGTTATAGTTTTTATATTCGACTTTTACTCTGGATTAAGAATGTTTTTTATTTATAAAAATTGTTAAATAGTAAAATAATTGTGTCTAAATAATTTCTTATTTTCCTTTATTTCAGGAAACTGCAAATCAAGGCGTTTATAGTTTATTTCATTTGTATTTTTTAAACAAAACTCCTTAATTTTAATATTAAAAATTAAATTTTTAAAAATTTTTTACTTTACAAAGGCTTTAAATGATAATTTCAAATTAAAGCGCTCAGACTATAGGATGGCCATTTTAGGTAATTATCAGAGTAACTTCAAGATTTAACTTAATCAAACTAAGCCTGAAAATAACAAAACTAAGCTTAAAGGTTTAGTTTCGAGACTATGGATGGGTCAACCTACCTACCGAACAATCCAGAGATGATTTCAAGGATGTCCAGGAAGTAGAAGTCTTAAGCTACAAAAACTTCCAGAAGATTTTCTGCGGAGAAGCATTTTTCGGAATGTCTTCATTTACAACCCAATAACCCAGTCTTTCAATTTGTGCCCATTTCTAACACCTGCTGTTACCTACAGTGTTACCTACAGTGTTACCTACAGTGTAAGCTACAGTGTGACCTACATGTTACCAACAGTGTTACCTACAGTGTTACCTTCAGTGTTACCTACAGTGTTACCTACAGTGTTACCTACAGTGTTACCTACAGTGTTACCTGCAGTGTTACCTACAGTGTTACCTGCAGTGTTACCTACAGTGTTTCCTACAGTGTTACCTACAGTGTAACCAACAGTGTTACCTACAGTGATACCTACAGTTTTACCTACTGTGTTACCTACAGTGTTACCTACAGTGTTACCTACAGTGTTACCTACAGTGTTACCTACAGTGTAACCTACAGTGTAACCCACAGTGAAACCTACAGTGAAACTTACAGTGAAACCTACAGTGTTACCTACTGTGTTACCTACAGTGTTACCTGCAGTGTTACCTACAGTGTTACCTTTAGTGTTACCTACAGTGTTATTTACAGTGTTACCTGCAGTGTTTCCTAGAATGTTACCTGCAGTGTTATCTACAGTGTTACCTACAGTGCAACCTATAGTGTAACCTACAGTGAAAACTACAGTGTTACAAGTGTTACTTACAGTGTAACCTACAGTGAAACATGTGTTACCTACAGGTTTACCTACAGTGTTACCTAAAGTGTTACCTACAGTGTTACCTACAGTGTTACCTACAGTGTTACCTACAAAGGATGAGACTGTAATGACAAACTGGAACTTAATTATGAAATCTGAGATCTGGAAGTTTGTTTTGTCCTAAGTTTTTAGCCTTATGTCCTATTTGATTTGGCTAAGAAAGGGTTAAAGTTTAAAGCTGAAGAGACCAAGAATCTAAGAAAAGAGGCTGATACAATTCAGTCTAGTTGTCGCTGAAGTCTCATCCTTTGTGGGTAACCCTGTAATAATATTTTCTTTAAATCTGTTTCAGCCTACACAGTCCTTGCGGCATGACGAGAAGATATTCATGTCATTCATGAATGCTTCTGCCTTCTGTCTGACCGGACCCACCTGGACATCTGTTGTCACTGCTTGCATTCTCCTTCTCCTCTTCAGCGGCTCCATGATGATGAATTTTTACTGAGCTAGCTTATTCATAATCCTATGCTTATTCAATGAAGGTAACAAGCAGAGTGCCCGTAATGCTGTGAATACAAGCTTCCTCTATGTCCTTCAGATCTACTCCTACGTCATCTTTAAGGAAATCCATCCACTCACTACTGAATTGTATCAGCCTCTTTTCTTAGATTCTTGGTCTCTTATATATAGATGCGCTGTTCAGTCGAAACCTTAAGAACCATTGAAAAACAATTTTTTTCGCACAAACTATACGAGAACTGAAAATTGCGAATTTGCTATTTACAATTTTGCAAATTTTCTGAGATTCTGTGATTCAATGTTTTTCTGAACTTTCCAGTTTGAAAGAAAAAAAGTTTCGCGGATTTTTTTTGGGCCATTGAAGTAACAAAAAAAATTTCAAATTTTTAAAAAATATTGAAAAAACACCTTACAGGAGAGTTGCACAAAAGAAGGTACAATATTTCACCAGGTGCCGGAAATCACACTTTTTTTTGACTCGCCATGAATAATATATATTAAAAAAAATTAAATTGACATTTCATGTTATTTTAACCATTCTTCAAAAACTTATTTTATTAAATTTATTCATTTATATTTTCTTTTTCTAATCAACACTTATAGTTAATTCAGTTTGTTGCCTTCTAAATTTCATGAAATTTCATCTACATTCATTTTTTATGGTAAGAAATATATAAAATTTTGTAATGATACATGATTTTATAAAAAATAGTTTGCTAGTGAAATGAAATTACCACAAATAGTTATAAACATGTAAAATTATATTCCTTCAATATTACAATGTTTATTTATGCAGTAGCTGCTATTCAGTTTTCAATGGATTTATGGAAATCCATTTCTACCAATAGTTTTTCTTTTTTGTTTTTATCTTCACTCGATTCATTAATCTATTTAAATTTGTAGTTACTTTTTAAAATTATTAAATTTGATTAAATTATGTTCATGTGCACTTATGCTGTAAAGCGTTCATTTGAAATGATGACCTTTTACTTTGTCTTAGTTAACAGTGACGTCCATATATTCAAATTGTGTTTTCTTCCTATTTTGAAATAACATTAAAATTTCATTTTGAGAGTCTTGTGTTAAAATAATATTTATTGAACAAACAATTGGTTTTGAGGATGGAGTGAATGCTACAGAAGATGCTCTTAGTAATAATGAAATAAATACTTGTTAATTTATTGATAGCTAGAGACTATAGAAAGATCATGAGAAAAACGTATAGTTTGTAAATTAAAATTTTTTTCATGCTTTCCTAAAGGAATCCACGCCCGATTTTTCTTTGCCCAAAACAGCCCATTTTAAAACACTTAAAAAAAAAAAAAAAAAAAAAAAAAAAAATTTGATGTATACATATATATATATTTCAATTTTATGTGTCTGTTATCATGTGACCAGTTAGCCTGACAATTTGTAAACTATCAACTGGGAAAATGGTTGTGATATATACTAGTTCAACATATACATATGTGTGTAATCATGTGAACTATCAAACTTGGTATTCTTGCAAGAAATGAATATAAATATTGATAGATTTTTGCTACATGCACAATCTCATTTTGCTACATGTACTAAATTTTCTTCATTTAAATTGCTTATTTTTATTTAAAATACTCCTATAAACTAATTTTCTTTGTTTACTTTTTTTGAATTTTACTACAATGACAGTGACAATTGTAATAATCAGAGTGGATAAACCAAATCCAATCAGGCCTACAAGAGTATAATAGATCTCTACGCTCCATAATGAGTCCTCTAGTTTTAAATGTCTAATTGTTATCTGTTCCTCTTGATCAAATTCTGCTGCAAAAAATTCGATATTATTGACCACAAATGTAGTATCTTTGTTAAAGGATATTAAAATGTTTGCATATATAGGTAGATCTATAGACATAATGGTAGTTTGACCGGAAGTAAACAGATATAAGTGGGTTTCATTAACCATTTTTGGCAACTGAAAACTTACTGTTTTATCAATATCGCAAGATTTTAAATATTCCGGACAATTCATAGTTTCTTTTTCATTTTTGCAAAAATATTCATTTTGTATTATCTTTACACATTTAGTTTGATCAAATACTTTAATATCCTTTCCAAATCCAAATCCTGTATTTGTATATATATGGCATTGTTTCATAGTACAAATAGGCAGGGGTGTAATCATGAATTGTTCCGTAATGTCATCGTAATAATCCCAGTCAATAACGAAAATATTTGGATTTAAAGTTGAAAAATAAACATATTTAATTTGAGCATATTTAAGAATATCTGGAAGGAACTTAGATTCTTTAGGTTTGTTCAATAACAGTTTAATGTTCTCACATTCCATAATTATTTTATTTATTGTATCAACAAGTAGAGCTACTTTTACAAGTTCATGGACATTTTGTGAATTATTTTCAGTTGGGATGCCATTAGAGTTTTCTCTTTCTAAAACTGTCAATTTTAATCTCATATTTTCCACATCATTGCTTAATTTATGTAAAGGAACTAAAAATGTTTGCAATTTATTTCTTTCATCATTAAACATTGTGATAGAGTTGCTTAAAGCCAATTTTATATTATCCACATCATTTTTTAACATAATAAGATTCTCATTTTGTTCCGTGTTTTTTAATTGGTTTTTCTCTAACATAAGTGTTAGATTTTTTTCTAATTCTTCAAGTTTACTTTTTAATTGTTCATTCCCCTGTGTAGAGCCTGTTATATCCAATTCATCCAATTTACGAGTAAGAAGCAAAAGTTTAGTACTGAAATCCTCTTCATTATTGTTATCATTGCTGAGTTTTGATTCAATTTTATGGGATAACGCTAAAAGCTTATTTTCAAGAAGTAATAAACTTTCTTTTGCTGCAGCATTTTCCAAATTTCTAAAATTTGCGGTTAAAGTCCTTATGTCTTTCTCATTTTCTTGTATTTCTGTTAGTAAAAACCCAAATCTATTATCTTCAGTCTGTAAGTTTTCTAGATTGTTAGTTGAGGTCGTTGAACCTTGAATGTCTGAGCCTATGTTTGTTGAACCCTGGTTTGTATGGCTAGTGTCCGGTAAATTCTGGTTTGTAGACTCACTGCTCGGAATTCCACGTTCATTAACCGTACTAGGATTTTCAGATATTGGGTTTATATTATTTTGAATTTCGTAAAGTTCCATATACAAAGGCGTAGGAATTTTGGTTTTCAACGCAATTACTTTATTTAATAATTCTTCCATTTTATTAGGACTTCTTAGAGTAAAACCAAAAATTGCAGCAAAATCCTCTATATCTTTAGCATTAAGGATTGGAACCCGTTTATTTAAAAATGAAATCAATGGATCAATCAAATCTATTCCTATATATTCCGTTGTTGGTTTCTTTACGAGTTTTAAATATTTTTTTAAGCAACTCACACGATTTTTTCTATATGCTGCCGGATCTGAACATCCCACAATTTTACTTTTTTCTATATATCCCCCGTTTTCTCCAATTGAGTCCATAAATTCTCCATCCCGTCTTTGTCTGTTATCAAAATATTCTAATGTTGCCTTACTTAATTCCTCATATATCTTAAATTCTTTTATTGGCTCATCACTAGGTGTGTTTTGTGTGTTTGATTTTCCTAATCTGTCAAAATACTGAGTTATCCAGTTGATCAGTTGAAAAAGGATAGATATACGATTTCTGTCAAGAGAGTTTGTAAAGATTTGCTCTAGGCTTACTTTTATCATTACTAAATCATCTTTGTTATTCAAAAAATCTATTGAAATTAGTTGTTTAAATTTAGACACTTTTGTATAGACCTTTACTAATTCAGAACTAGAGAAAGTAGGAAAAGTATCTACTATACTAAATATAAAAAGTACAAGTATAACAAGTTTCATTGTAATTTGTTTATCACCTTTTCTTGAATGATCGTAATTGCTTCCTTGCTTAAATGAATCCTGTCATCAGCGCAAAAGCCTAAAAGAGTGCAATTTGAGAATACCCCGACATTTATATGTGTATTTATTGCATTTATGACGTGCCTAAATCTTTGAGCAGTACTACTGGTAAAGAATGAACATGTGGAATCTGTAATTATTTTTGTTGCCCTAGGTGGGGGTTCTATAAAAATAACACTCTTTGTGTATAATGACAGGATTCTTACAAAATTAGAATACATGTCTGAACATTTTAAAATATCAAACTTATCCAAGCAAACATGTTTTCTATTGTGTAATATGTGCAGTTTTGTAGGCAAGATGTCATTTCCGCTCAAGTATAAAATTGTCATGTATTTCTTATTTTTTTCTTTTAGTGCGTTTTCAACTAAGTTTAGATCAACTTTTCCTTTAAATATGATACTATCAATGTTTTTTCCGCATCTTTCACTATTTTCTAAAACCTGTTTTGCTAGAGATGAACCAACAATAAGAATGCTTTCCATTGTATACTCGGTAAAGCTAAAAACATATGATATATATAGTAAAGATAAGATAGATAAAAATGGATTATACAAATAATATATAAGTATGTATTACATTACTAACACCTAACTTTCACAATTTTTTCTATTATCCTATTACACATAGATTCAGCCTCCTTATAAACAGTCTCATCAATTTTTAAGACAGGGCTGACTTTGAAGTGTCGCAACGCCCTAAGCTTTGATTTTACCGCTCTAACTCACTTATGCTTTTCTGTAGCCCTTTACATGTACATTTTAGCAATGTAAAGCACTTCTTGTTAGATTTGGTTTTTTAGAAGTAATTGGCAAAATTCTCAACGATTTTTGCTTGAGAGCGTAAGACCATTAAATCGCAGTGATTACAGTATGGACATCTTCCCTTTTCTTCAAATATTGTTTTACAACATTTGTAACAACATAAGAAATGTGCTGAGTTACTATGTACAAATGCTGCATCTTTTTCAAGATCACAACATATTAGACAAATATTAGTATCTTCTGCACTTATCATATCCTGAGCACTTGTGTCCTTATACAGTAATTTCTTTCTTTTTGGTTTCTTGTTTCGAGGTCTGCACGCTTTCGTTTTATTATTTGTCCAACATTGAAGGCATTGTTGCATTTGAGACATATTTATTTTACAAGTCCAGCAAAGTTTCTCTCCAATTTTTTGGTCTTTACACAACTCCAATTCTATTTCATTGTCAGCCCAACATTGTTGGTCTTCAATTGATTCAAACACTGTTATTTTATTATCGTTACTATCTGAGTCACTCGCAACAGTTATTGTTAATACGTTATCAGAACTAACAAAGACATTTTCATCG